ATTCTAATGTCTCCAAGTTTTCTGCCTTCAACTGAACTGTCCTTTCCTTTCACTGATTAAAGCTGATGTCGGGGGGTTCAGAGACAAGGCATTAACGACGTTCCTTTAGGACCGGTTTACCAAAAAAGAACCGAGGGCTTACTGGTGCTGGGGTGATTGAGACAGACAGTTCATTTTCAGATGCACGTGGGATTGAAATAACATGCCGAGGCCAGTGAGCTTTCATCCTTTCTTCTTAAATGTAATACTATTCTTATCGGGCTACATATAAATTAAGTGAACCAGATGGGCTATCCTGAAACCCCAGAGAAATACATTTGCTAAACTTCTCTAAGAAAATCAGGGAAAGCAAGCATATACACTATTCAAAGAAAATAAATAACCCTAATTGAGCTGGCTACTTAAACTGGCTAGAATGTTCTGCCTTTCTTGCATTTATTTGAATTATCGGAGAGGAGATATATATTGTGACACGGTATTCTCTGCCCCTTACACCTCCCAGGACACGGCCAGGGCTGACAATGGGTTTTCAGTGTCTGTCTGTCTGTCCTCTCTCCCATACGACCAAGGACAGGAATTTAGGAGTTGAGGGTCTGGCATAAGAGGCAAGGCGAATGAACACAGATTGGACATCTGTGCTCTTTAGCGTAATATATGGTGGTGACATTTGATTTGGCACACTCTGTCTTCACAAACGACTGCTGGAAACAAGGGGTCACCGAGACACACACCCCTTTCCTCCTAGTGGTGGCTGACTGCGTCCACGTGTCCTGCCCAATGTGTTGAGGAATCGCTAGGGAAAAAGGACTTTGTGTGTTTCACAAAACAGGCCATTTACACTTGATCTTCCTTCCCTCTTCTTTTCTTAAATATCAAAGTCCTCTAATCAGTGTGCGTCGGTGGTCTTTACCTAACTATAATGTAATCAGGGCTTAGTTATTTTTCTTTTTTTTAAGATTTTACTTATTTATTTTTAGAGAAGGAAAGGAGGGAGAAAGAGAGAGAGAGATAGAAACATCAATGTGCAGTTGCTGGGGGCTGTGGCCTGCAACCCAGGCATGTGCCCTGACTGGGAATCGAACCTGCGATGCTTTGGTTCGCAGCCCGCGCTCAATCCACTGAGCTACGCCAGCCAGGGCCAGGGCTTAGTTATTTTTCAATTCTGTGTCTGCATGTCTGAGCTCTACTTCTTCTTTGCCCATGTGCTTTCTCTCCACCCAAGGCAGAGTCCACTTCATTCTTGTTCTGGGGGAAATGTAAGAATCCTTTAGTTTGAAAGAAATCTAAATTTAAGTTAACGGTAAATTTCTCTTTCAAAGGTAGTTTGAAAGAGATCAAATATAGTTTTCCCCCAAACTTAAAATTTTTTGAAGCATTCATTCCCTTAACCTGGGATTCTTCTTAGTTTTCGGGTGTGTTTCTTCACCAACACCGTTAAGAAATTTGAGAGCTTTTGTGATAGAATTTTATTCCTTATATTTTAAGTTCTCTACCTTTAACTTGACTAATTGAATATCAAGGAAATTTAACCAAAACTCAAAGTCTTTAGTAAAGAAAGAAAATTAGAAGTCTACTGAATTCCTAAAAATGCCCACCAAGAGAGGGCATCAATTTTTAAAATATATATATATTTTTTTTATTTTAGAAAAAGGGGGAGGGAGAAGGAGAAGGTGAGAAACATCGATGTGAGACAGAAACACGGATGTGAGAGAGAAACACTGATTGTTTGTCTTCTGTATTTACTCCTGAGGATCGAACCTGCAACCCAGACACGTACCCTGACCCTGTGACCTTTCGGTTCCTGAGGTGATGCCCAACCAACTAAGCCACACTGGTCGGGGCCAGAGAGGGCATCAGATTACAGATGGAAATTAAATGTCTTGTCTCTAGGACAAAACAAGGAGATGACTTTTTACCTGAAGGGCGCAGTTCTAAAAATGACACTCTCATTTAATTTGTGCTCAAAAACAAACAATTAAAAAAAAAAACCCTTCCTGTTAGTGTATATGTTTGTTCACACTCCCACAGCGGACTTGGAAGTCCCAGATTCTGGTCTTCCCCAGGAAGACGCTGACTTGGAACCCAGGCCCAGGGAAACCCCTCTAAGGAGGAGGCAGGTGCCGCCACAAGCAACTTAGGTATCACTATGCCAACCGGAAGACATTTCCAAAGGGACACGTCACCGATGGGCCCGGAAGGAAATGTTTTCCCAAGCAACTGTGGTCTGCTCACGAAAGGAAAATTTGCTTTGTAAGAAGAAATAACAACATATGCACAATAGTTCGGAGAGGAAAGGGGGCTTTGGCATTCTGTCCCTGCAACGTCACTCTAGAGGTATTCATCGTGGAGTTTCAAGGATTGAAGTGTACTTTAAAGGTGGATGAAACAGATCAATTTTGCTGTCACAGAGAAAATGAACAGTAGAGTCGTTCCACACATGTCAGACTAGACCTCCGTGTGCGTGCGTGTGTGTGTGCATGCACACACTACACGGTGTGTGTGGGAAGACGAACGCACTCACCCTGCTCACCTAAAGTAGCATTAATGGGGCAGGCTTCCCTCTCTTCAGCGTCTGGTTAGCATCATAACTAGTATGACGCCATTCACTAGATAAACAGTCAGTCATTGCAAGTCTCCAATGAGTCACTGGTTGCATGGGGCTCACGGGCAGGGCAAGCCACAAGTCAGGTACGATGCCCTGGGGACAACGCAGAACAAGCGTTTCAGCACAAGAGGGGAGAAGACTCCTCCCTTCGCAGCCGCCGGGTCTGTGGCTCTGCAGACGCCACAGCTCGCATCCCGGGGTTTTCCATTTATACTGCAATTCTGAGCTCGAGGAAAATAGCCCACAGATGTGCTGCCGGGATTCGAGGAGGCTCTTTCGTGCCAAAGTCCATGCTCCGCATAATGATCATGTTTGAAAAGTATTAACATTATATTTTTTCATAAACTATCACTGATTCATAACAGAAGCAATGAAAAATTAAGGTCAACAAATACTAGCACTTCCAAAGTAGCCACCCTTCAATTAAAAGTCAACCCGGTAAGCACACTTGTGTCTTTGGCTGTCTCACCAACACCCTGAGCAGCCCCCAAAGGTCCCCACAGCATTGTACCGAGTGTCCACGACACAGAAGGTGGCTCTGGGAGGGGGCGGCTGCAGACCCAGGAGGGCCCTCTGCTTCCTCCGGGGGAGTCCTCAACAAGCAGCAGTTTAGAAGTCTTGAGTTTTATTGCTCATTGTATTACAATGAATTAGAAATGAGTAAACTCCATTAAACTGAACATGTCATTACCCAGATGAACTTGACTGAATAAGACACAACACGCAGATGGCCCCTGCTATGGAGAAGAGCTTTTTTGGGGGGAATTTTACGAACGCCTGTAAGTCGTCGGCGCATCACCAGGGAAAGGGGCAGATCACAGAGGCTTCTCAAGTGGCCCGAGGGTTAGCACCTCCTCAAAACGTCAGAAGCGGGCTCCCTGACCTGCTGCGCCCACAGCTTCGCTGTCCGTACGCGCGCACTAGAACTTCACGACCGAGCCAGAGATGCGGCCGCGGCGGCCGTGCAGACCCACAGCCCGAGCAGCGCGAGTAAACCAGCTTCGGGTGTCCTTACTGGTCCAAAACTGAGCTGTTTTATCTGGTATCAGAGCTAAAATACCGGTTTTTATATTTTACCCAAATGTTTTGTTCTAGTAGTCACAGTGACAGAAATATTGCCCTTTACTGTGTGTGAGAAATCTCACCAGTCTTGTGACTTACCTGCTCTTTCAGAAAAGGGAACTATCAGTGGGCTGAGTTCACCTTTTTGCTCCTGCACAAACGCCTGTCTTGTACTTTTCTGGTATTATTTTTAACTTCATTAAATATTATTGCTTGGTATAAATTTATAAAGTGACACATTTTTCAATACCAACCGTCTACGTCAACTTATTCCATAACAGCACATTCCATCCAATTAAACCGCAAGGTTTCCCACATTTGTTTTACATTCTGCATGTATGGCTTATGAATAGCAATTTTGATGAATTCCAGCTGGTTCAAACATGCAGGCAGACCCTGCTGGAACAGATTCTTTTCAGTTCTCATTGAATTCAATGAGGTCCACTTTAAGTGGGCCACCTGGTAGGATGGAGCACCAAGAAGTCTCCGTAGGACAAAATAAAAAACAATCACCCCGCGCCACGGTGGCCCATCGCCCCCAGCTCCATCGCTGTCATATAATTAACATCAGTGAGAAGTAGTTCTTACCTTTTGGGAAACTTGAATTAAAACTTAAACAAGCTAGCAACCCCATGAGCCTACTAAATTGCTCCTGTGTCTATTATAACAGCGTCAAGAGAATTTCCACCATTCGTGCGCGCCGCCCGGCTTCGCGAATCTATCACGCACAGTCCAGTCCCCCGCCGCTCCCCACGCCCTCCCCCTTCCCCCAGCTGGAACACATCAGGGGCGCAGCGGCCAAGTCAAATGTTGACCCCACCCTCCTCCATCCACTTCAAGGCACCTTCAAAGGCAGAGCACTGATCTAACTCAGCTTCACCAGCACCGCCAGCCATCCCGCGCTTTAAGATTCCAGTTTGGGTTTTTTTTTTTTTTATAACAGCACGTTAATAGGACAGCTTTGATTCTGGGTCAAAAACTTCAGCGGCCCTGGGTTTCGTCAGATGGTTGGACCCTGCCTGCCAGAAAGTCCTCATTATTAAATCTCCTTAATCTTTGCTCTGTGTCCATCTCCTTCCTGATCATGACAACTTCTCTGAACTGCCCAGTGCCCACCTCTGAAGGTCGTATTTCCCTTCCCAAAGGTCGAAAGAGAACAGCCATTACGGTAGAGCGAATGCACGTCAGCCCAACATTTGCACACCCTGGGTCACCCGTGCAAGGTCACAAAAGACAGTCACGTCCACGTGCAGGGGAAACACTCCTTCGCAGGCTCATGCAGGAGGGGGGAGGGGCTGGAGAGAAAGGGGCAGCTGCAGGACAAAGAACTTACTTTGTTGTTCCCCTGAGCGTGCGGCCGCAAGGAAAAAAAAGAGAAAGAAAGAAGTAGGTTAAACATGAATTTATTTTTCAACTAGGTAATTTCCGAGCTGGAGCAAAATCCAAACAAACCATTTGACTAGTCCCTGACACCCTCGGACACACACACAGCACCCAGAGCTCAAGGACGAGTCGAAGGATCTACCGAGATGAAGTGAAATGGCGCATATATAACGGCAGAGAATCGAGAGAGAGAGAGGGAGTCCCTCTCTCTCCTTCTGCTCGCAATACTTGGAGTGTGAGATCCTGACCACAAAGCACGGGTCTGAACTGGTAAGGAGTGAACCGTTAGCACAAAAGGCGAAGTATTTAGTATGTCGACTTGGCCTTTCCTGACAGCCCCTCCTCCAACATGCCAAGCAGTGGAAACTTTCGGCAGCCAATGCATTTTTAAACAAACACTGCATCCTTGGTTTCAAAGAAGGTGGGAAAAAAAAAAGGGCAAAGAGAGCAGAAGGAACAAGTGGGTGGTTCTGGGGAGACAGGGAAAGCAGACCAAGGTCTGACCTCCCTCCGTCCCCTTCCTTTCTTTTGTAAATTACGAGTTTTGTCTCGGGTCAGCACGGGAAGCGCCCACTGTATGGCAGGGATGTGGCCAAGATCAACACTGGTCTGCACTCAAGAAAACGGGTCTGGAAAGGTTAGTCACAGAAATGTAGTCGTTTCTAAACGGGACACTCTGGATAGAACACAGAGCAGCCAGTGACAGGCGGCAGGCAAATGGGTCTCCTGTTTCCACTATAGCTGCAAGGGTTTGATTTATATCAGACAATTTCACTCACATATGGCTTAAAAAAATAGAGCAGTGATTCATGAGTCCCAGGGCAGCCCGAGGCCTCGCCAGGTCAGGTCCCGTGCGGGAGCCGTGGTGGGACAGGCCGGCAGGGACCCGATCGGAGCCCTTCTCACGAGGGGCCCAGGGGGAGTTTCGTGCTGAGAGGCCGAGTTGAAGAGAGAAGTTAGAAAGAGCCTGTGCCCCTGGGCAGGGGACGGAGCGAGGTGGAGTCACAGGTTGGGCTGCAGGGACGGCCGTTTGGTTTTCAGGGAGGACCGTGGAGCGGGGAATAAGACGGACAGAGGTCTCTGGAGAGTGGTTCGGCAAGGACTGGGGGAGGGCGCGTCTTCTGGAAAACCACGCCAGTGGGTGACTCGGAGGAAACGTCTAATTCAAGGACCATCACAGCCATCATTTTTAATAAAAACGTAAATTTAAAGACACTGATAAAATAAGTGTCGAGAAGCTTCTTGACATTGTGAGTTACTGTGATATAACTGTTAACAGCACTGGTGTATGTGAGATTTCAAGAATGAATGGAGGGGGAAAGAGTCTTTTGTAAAAAAAAATGTGTGTGTGTGTGTATATATATATATATATATATATATGCCAACTGTTCAATAAGGCAATAAAGCTCCCCAGGGGGAATTTTATCAGGAGAAAAATTCTATTTTAGAGAGAATAATGGGGCTCTGGTTCTCCAAAGAAGTGCAATATTGCCGAAAATTCCTCAAGCAGATGGAATTTATTGCATTCCATAGCGGTGCGGCTTTGATCTGGCAAATCAGTTTCAGGAGCCCGACCAAGTATTTCTGCATGTCAGGGGATGACTGGCTGCCTCGCTCATGAGAGCCGTGGCAGATGGTTCTCTCTGTCGTGGCCACGGTGATGTCACAGAGCAGGGGCCTTAGTCCTCCGAGAGGAGAAACGTACACGTGGAGGACGGGGGCTGGGGCGGGGCTCTGCCATTTCTCGTTTCCTTCCATCATTTCCCAACTGCCTATTCTGGACGCGGTGGAGCGGTGATGAGTGGGCAACTGTAAATGCTTCATAGACACCGCCCTGCTCTGTGCGGCTGCCTTGAGGGTTGGATCGCCGACGGGGCCTCTCCTGGGGAACAACGAAGACTCTCGGAACCGGTCAGGTAGCTGCCTTGGTGCTGAGCCGGGGAAGGATGAAGGAAGGGGTGCGTGGCAGCGCTAAGGTGGGCATCGTCAGCGGCAGATGATGGGACAGCTGGATAAAGCCACGTGAGTGGTCGTCGCCACAGCAACACATTTTTCTGGAGGTCTGTGGCCGTTCCTCGTCTTTCCCCAGAGGGATACAGAGCCCCTCTCTTCTCCTTGCCATTGCCACAGAGAAAAGTCCAGTGTGGGGGGTTATCCCAAAGGGATTTTTGAAGTCCCCCAAAGACTTCGTCGTAGGACGGTTTCAACCTCCAAAGCAGTCCCCAAAGCATGATGCCCGGGAGAATGTGGAACTCAGAGGTGAAGAGAAATTCCAGGGCGTCCACTTTCTACTGCCAATTTCCATCTGGGAGGGCTGTCTGTCTACAGCCAATAGAAGCCTTGTGACAAGTCCTAGGGTATGTGAGTTACACGCAAAACTGGATTTGCACCCATTTCTTTCCAGGGCCTGTGTGCATCTGGGCCTGGGCAGGCCTGGGAACCCTCACGTCCCCACAGCCTCTCCGGCTCCCTGCTGGCCGACTGGGCCCCAGGACTCCTCCCCTCAGCGACTCGGCTTCCTCAGCCAAGAGCTGGGGAAATTCTCCCTCACATGCCTGACCCCAGCGACAGCTCCCAAAGAAAGGGGAACTCTTGTACTACACTGGGAAACGGAGCTTCGTGGGCACATGGGTGACCTTCAACAACGATGATAATGGACGTGGCATTGGACACCTGCACCCGGTTCCAGGCACCGAGTGGATGTGATGGGCCACTCTCTTCATTTGATCTCGAGAAACATGTTATTGTGTTGAGTTGAAAAAAGAATACACAACGTAAGAGGGTTAGGTACGTTGCCTGAGCCACACAGCTAACACGTGGGAGGGTCGGGGGTCAAATGGGAGTGGATGTGAGAAGGAGAAAGAGAGGGAGAGAAATATGAATGTGTGGTTGCCTCTCACATGCCCCCTACTGGGGACCTGGCCCACAACCCAGGCATGTGCCCTGACTGGGAATCGAACCGGTGACCCTTTGGTTTGTGGTCCAGCGCTCAATTCACTGAGCCACACCAGCCAGGGCATGTTTATGTATAATTTAAGTCATGTTCTGAGCAGACAAAACTGTGCCAGGAAAATCAGTCCTTTATTATATCGTGTTCTTTAGATATTTAATCAAATTCACATTTATTTGTATTCGAACTTATAGGAAAAGTTTATGTGCGTGGGTCTGTAAAATAACCTTGTAAAAGTGCTTTAATTGTAGTCTGTAACTGCCGATACACTCAGACACACACACACTCACCTCGGTGTAATCATTAAAAAAGGTTAATTCCATTAGAAACATCTTTGACTTTGAAAAACGTGTAAAATCCTGCACACTTATTTAACAATGTAAAATTGTCTAGTGCTCATAATTTCAAATGTAATGACCAGAGGAAATAGAAGTAAAAGATCAAATGCTGCAAAATCCAAATTCAGATTCAAATACATTTTTATCGTGCTGTGGTGGCTCAGAAAGAATGCTGCTCTGGGGCTCAGAGAGCTTCTATGTGTGTCCACGGAGGAAGTCGGTGGCACCACGGGAAACCCAACCCGTGACCCCTCGTTTCCGGCTCAGGGCCACACACAGCACTGCCCAGATTCGGAGTCTACGCTTTGCTCTGGGTGGGGAGAGGCGAAGGGACTGACGGTAGTTAGCGAGCACACCTGGGAACCCAGCCGGGCCGTTGCGTTTCATACAGGCACGCCCTGTAGCTCTATCCCACTGTAGGGCAATTGCTGATCTGCGTTCTGTCTTTTCACTAGATTTGGGACTCCCACCAAGGGAGAGTTGCAGCTCCTTAAAATCTGAATCTCTGGAGTCCGCCACAACAGTGATGGATGACGGAGAGGAAGGAAGTGGGGGGAGAGGGTGCGAGGGAAGGGAACAAAGAAAAGACGTTGTAGAGACGGGAGAAACGGGGTGGCCAAATATGATGGCATCAGTGACATGGCAACATTCCATCGTGGAGATGCGACAGAAAAATATGACGCGGAAAAGCCTGTTATAAAACAGTGTGGAAGCGTAGCTGAAAATAAAATTTGTCCAAATCATTTTGTTCAAATTTGGGTCATTGCTATTTACCTAAACGAAGCCAACCTTGTAAGTTTTTTAAAATAATCAATGGCCCTGGCTGGCGTAGCTCAGTGGATTGAGCGCGGGCTGTGAACCAAAGTGTCGCAGGTTCGATTCCCAGTCAGGGCACATGCCTGGGTTGCAGGCCATGACCCCCAGCAACCCCACACTGATGTTTCTCTCTCTCTCTTTCTACCTCCCTTCCCTCTCTAAAAATAAATAAAATAAAATCTTTAAAAAAAACTAATCAATGTAGAATTTTTTCAATCAAAACGGAGGCATGGGAAGCAAAACTTTCTGAGCCTGGACTCGTGTCCGTGTGTATGAGTTAAAGGTACAAAAACACAACGACCCACCAGAAGGCCTAAAAACTCACTTAGAGAGCGTCGTCTGTGGTTAGCTTTGTCTGGAGTCTTCATCAAGTTTTTCTCGATTAGAAATAACTGTACCTAAAAGCGCCCCTCCCCCCGAGCCTGCCTGCTCCCAAAATGGAGTGTGCACACAAGCGTTCTACTCAGAATCCCACTGCTTCCAGTAGTTAGCAGCCATCTAATGGTCTGAAAGCCAAGCCACCATGTCGCGTAACCTGGGGGACTCTATGGTGCATAAAAAAATGCAAATATTGTTTACGATGAAAACTGAGAAAAGCGCTGTTCCTGGCCCGCTGCCAGGTTTAATTTCCTGTCCTGTCTTCGGCGCGTAGTAAAAAACCCCTTTGTCTCCCTCTCCCAAACAACTGTACCAAATGTGTGTTTCCAAACAAATAGGAAGCACGTGAGAAGAACCAAAACAGATTAGGTAGGGTTTGCTTAATCTCTAGAGTTGCCGAAAATTGAGCATTCTGTGGGACAAAAAGAGGCTAATATTTCATTGAGTGTCTCCTTTGTGTAGAACCGTGGACACGTGAAAAGCCAGGTTTTTAAACACAGTTCACTGGGGAACAAGTAATTTTGCTTTTCCGAGACACTTTTTTTCCCCCTCACAAGAGAGGGGAATTACATAATTTCTTTAAATAGCCAACTTGCCTAGTACATTTAAAATAGGTTTCATTGACAAAATCATGACTTAAGGAAACGTTTTCACGAACATTACGGTTGTGTGTATGTATGTAAGGGAGACACACACACAGATTTTATATAGCCAAGCGTGTTTAGAAGACAGAAATAGCACACAGCATTTACAATTTCACTGGGCAATAACATCCACAGAGTTTTCACTCTCTGCTTGTTAAAGAAAGCAGTCTGTGATGGAATCATCATCATCATCAGTAAAAACAGGGCACTTATTTGTGCCCACCTTATTCAACACTTGTCCTGCATCATCTCATTCACCCTGTCACCCACCCTACGGGGGACTTCCGTTACCTCCACGTTAGAAATGGGAATCTCGAAACATAAAACGGCTGGGTAAGCTGCCCAGCAGCCCCGGCACCTGAGCCCACGGAATCTCACCCTCAGCAGTCTGCCGCTGCAGTGTCCTTGAGCTCACCTGCGCTGTGGCTTCTCCTAGCACCCAGCCATCGTGATCGTGAAAAACGTCAGTCTTATCGTGTCACTGCACTGGCTCAAAACCCTCTGCGGGTGTCCCAGCTCACTCGGAATAAGACTCAAACGCTCACCACTCCTTCAGGGCCCACCGGCCCACGGCCGGCCCCGACCACCCCGCCGCCCCCTTCTGTCCTTCCTCCGTGTGCTCCGGACACACTGACTGGTCTGCTGCTCTTCTAAGGCGCCGAGGCGGCTTTGCATGTGCGAGTCCTCTGCCACCGTGACCCTCCTCTAGCCTCTCCTATGGTTCCCTCCCTCCCCTCCTTCAGGAGCTTGGCCGAGTGTCAGCTCTTCCAAGGGCCCTTCCCTCATCCCCGTGACGACAATACGACCCGCCCTCACGCACACCGGCTGTCCCTTTACTTTTGAATAGAACGGATCCCTCCCTTAAACCACACTGCACAATTATGGGGCTATTCACTGTCCTGATCAACATCCGCTCCTTGCTGGGGGGGCCTCGCTGCCCTCCTCTGTGTCACTGGGGTCCAGCCTGCTGCCTGGAAAAAAACCCCGGGCTCAAAAGGCTTTTGTGGAGTGAAATGAAGACAAATTCATCCAGAATGTTTACAGTTTCTAAGACAGAATGTTTGTGAAATCAAACACACTGCCATCAAGAGACGGGGGAGAGTAGTAAGTAATGGTTCAAATTCACACATGACTTTTTAAAATGCTTTCTCGTGCGTGGCCTGCAGAGTGGCGTCCATCCACGCAAGCACTCGCGCACACCTGACGAAGGCCGGCCGGCCAATGCGACAGTCACACGTCGGTGCCTCTGTGCCAGGTGTTGGGGGTGGGGGTGGGGGTGGGTCTGGTTCCGCCCCACCGGGAGGGCACAGGGCATGTTGCGGGTTCATGGTTTGAGGCGCTAGGCAGACAAAGGGAGGCTGGGACGGGGCTCAGCGGTCTATGTGCGAGCTGAAGGAACAGCAGGAGGACAACACTCAGCACAAATCCTCAGTCCATCAGCCCGGAGTGCCGTGAAATGTAACCTTGGGGACACATTCAGGCCTGACTGTGCCCCCAGAGGACCTCCCATGGGCCCACAGTGCATCCACGTCTCAGACTTACCTTGTCCCTATCTGGGGCCTAGAAATAATCCGACTGGTGCGTGACCAGGCCCCGAAACTAGTCTAGAGCCCCCAAGCACTGCACTGGTCAAGCTGGCCCCCCACCCCCACCCCCACCCCCAAGGCTCAGGCTCAGGCTCAGGCTCAGCACTACGTCTGGGGGAGCCCGAGCAGCACAGCAGCTGGCAGGGGGCAGGCTGGGGGGCGGGCTGTGGACGCGCGGGCTTCCGCCGAGCTGAAATCCAGACCCGCCTGCGCAGGATTACGTTCTCCAAAGAACACAAACAGAAGGTCTGCTTATTAACTTGAATGAGAAAAGTGTCTTCAAGGCACTTGAAGTGTATTCATCAACGTAAGTGGGAATACCTACCTAATTTTTTTTTCTTCTTTCACACAGTGACATTAACCAGAGTTTGAAAACAGATGTAATTTTGGAACAGGTACTACAGACATAATGAGAGGAGATAGACTTTTATAAAAATAAGTACACTTTTAAGAATAGTAACTAGTGGTATGATTAATTTTATACATGTACTTACTACAAGCAGTTCGTAATATATATTGTATGTGCTATGATTACACGAAGAATGTGTAAACTGCCGGTATTAATACTGTAACAACTCTGGAGCAGCATTCAAGGGAAAATAAAAATTGAAGTTAAAACAAAGCAACCCTCTCTTAGCCTGAGCTCACATATCTTACGCTTTATGGCAGACCAGGGCATTTCCTTTAACATACACACTGATCCACTTCGTAAAGTATTTAGAAATCTCACGGAGAAAAACTATATATAAGCTGAGTATCACTTAAAACTGCTGCACATTAGGTCAAAAGAGAACCCGCTTCTCCCGCACGCAGTGTGTAGAGTTACGTTTCTTTACACACGGTCAGTAACTTCGAAGTAAGAGATTTCTCCAACTTACTGAGGATTTGTCGGGGTAGACGCCAGCTCTGAGCAGAGAGGCCTTCCAGCTGTCCACGTCCTCCTGGGAGTCGCAGGCCAGCTCCAGGAAGCGGTAGTCTTTGTACACATTCCTGGAGTTCAAAAAGACACTGCTTTAGTGCTGAGGCGAATTCAGAATGCTTTGCTATCTCTGCACACAGTGGTACACGGGACGGGCCAGATGGCTACTTCTCTCCGTCACTGGAGGGGGAAAATCACTGTCTTTAAAATACTTTTTGCAAACTCTCACACAGAGGCATTATATAATTTTTTTAAAACCCCCCCCATTAAAGAACTGAGAGTTGCCTAGAGTTGTCCGTGCTGCTGAACAGGAAGTTGAGAAAACCCCAACGCTCTCAACGCAGTGACCCGCCAGGTGCCAATGGAGGGGACATGTTCTAAGGGGACAGGGTTTGCTGTGGCCTGGTAACCAGATCAATTTTCTGAAACCATTTTACAAGACTGAGAAGCTCAGAAAACTTTAAAATGCACGGCAGGAATCTTACAAACCAAAAAGACGGTGCCGGATTTAAAACGGAAACGCCCGTCGGAGTTGCGGGAGGAGAGAGCCTTCGCCAGCACAGAGCGGAGCGAGAGGCTGACCAAGTGCACCTTCGTAACCGGGCCAAAGCTACAATTTTGTATTCCTTTTGCTAACGACAAGGTAACACAAAGGACGTAGCACATGCCCATTTGAAAAACCTGGAAACTGGGTGAAAGAGAAAATGGTGGCCTCACCCTTGTTTCACTGTTTACAGAGCGCCTCATTTCTTTATACTCTTGTTCTCTGCATTTCCCACACAGTTGAGTTTTTGTCTCCGTATTTATCAGTTTTGTGTCCTATTTCATTTACTACGGCACCACAGTCAGCTACTTACACCATTACATCTTTGTGCACATCAAATTATGACAATAATCATTATTATAAATGTATGGTAATTTCCTTAACTTCTTTCTAGTGTTAGCCAATTAAGTCATTGCCTTTTTTTTGCAATCATAAATAATGCTTAAATGAATATTTTATCCATAAGCCTTTGCCATATTTACTATTATTAGAGTAGATTCCTACAAATAGAGTTACAGGATCGAAGTTATGATCATTTCTTAAGACACTGGTTGATACACATTCCAATCACCTTTCCAGAAAAGCAAGTCCAATGTCGACAGACACCAGCAGTGCAGGATGAACCGTCTCCTCCTGCTTCTCCCTCAAGGTGTTCTCATGCGTGCCTGAGCCCCTCAGGCCACGCCCAAACCCAGACGGCTCCCCTGTCTGCGTGTCCAGTCCAGACCCATTCCAGATTCCCGCCGCCCACTGACTCCTCCGCATGGGCCTCCCAAAGGCTCCCTTGACGTGAGTGGCAGCGGCTGATGCCCGACTTGGCGTTCCCAGTTCGTGCAGCAGCAGTGTGACTCAGACATTTCGGGGAGCACCTCAGCCACCTTCCGCTCCCCCACGCCCCTCTTCCACTTCGCCACCTGACAGTGCACTCCTGGTACACTGATCTCCCTCTCATTATCATGTCCTCAGCGGTCTCCCAGGGTCACAGGTCCCCTTTGAGCCTGTTGTCCTTCCTGAATCCTCACCATGCTCTCAAGATGGGAGTGGATGTCTTTACTCCCGGTCTAAAACACTCTAACAGCTACCTGCGTTTAGGAGAAAAACTACACCCCCGATGGGGCCAGCGAGGCCCACCACCCCCTTCCTCTCCGGCTTCTTCTCACACTCTGCTCGCCCTGCTGTCGCTGCTCGGGCCGCCCTGGCCTTCCTTGACCCTCTCCAGTGGGCCACCCTCGCTCCCTCCCGAGTCTCTGAGTAGCCTGCTCCCTCTGCAGCGCTCTTTCCTCCCTGTCGCCGAGTTAACTCTTCCTCCGCCTCGGGAATCATCGCCACGTCCCCAGACGTCACCTCCCTGGCACCCCTGCGGGTCGGCTCCTCTTTCACCCACTTTTCCTCTTTCACGTTTACCTTTCCCTGCGTGGCCCTGATCACAGGTGTGATTTGGGAACTATGGGAGTTTCTTTTTCTTTCTCATTTACTGATTAAATTTGATACTGTCTGTTTTCCCAGCTAGCCTGTAAACAACATTAGGACAGAGATGGTACCACTTTTTTGGCTCATCAATCTATCCCCCAAGGGATTCTGGGAAGTTTTACTCATGTTTATTTCTTGCCATAGCTCTATGCTTGGGTTTAGTGTTGTCATTTGGCATTTTTTTTTAGAGCGCTGTTTACTGTTTCCTTTGTGTAGGGTGGGAAACTAACGGCCTTTTTGGCTTCTATATTTTTTAGAGGTTTTCAATTCTACAGGTAAAGGATCATTTTTAAGCTTTCCAAATCATTCTTGAGTTCATTTTTGTATATACGAGATTCAGGAGTAAAATAATTCTGGATTTACTGAAGACTTCAGAAGCTCTTACGTTCCTCCACTTTCACGATAACTGCTGACCTGTCTACAAGTATTGTAGACACTTGTTTCTGCAATAGAAACCTGGACTGTTCCTGAATAATTGTTTTCACATCTCTTTAAGAGTCTCTTCTTTTTTTTTTACTTTTGCATCCGATGTTGTTCCACTTAAGCAAGGACTTAGATGGAACTCAAGGTGTAACTTGAATAAGTGTTTATCCTCAGGCGCTTTTTCCACCTGGGCGTCCCCATCTGTGAATCCCGACTCGGGCTCCGGTTCTGAATCGGCCTCCGAGGGGGCGGGCCGGCTGGGTTTCTGGCTGAGGCCGCATCCCACTTCTCCCGTTGACTCAGAGAGGAAGGGCAGACGTTTCTTCTTGTTGTCTTCCTGCTTAGCCCATTTTCTTTTCTTTTTTTAATGTTTAACAGCAGCTCTTTATTTTTCTTTCTTTATTTTTTTAAAAGATTTTTATTTATTTATTTTTAGGGAGGGAAGGGAGATAGAGAGAGAAAGAGAGAGAGAGAAACATCAATGTGCGGTTGCTGGGGGTTATGGCCTGCAACCCAGGCATGTGCCCTGACTGGGAATCGAACCTGGGACACTTTGGTTCCCAGCCCACGCTCAATCCACTGAGCTACGCCAGCCAGGGCCCATTTTCTTAATCAGGGTGAAGCGTGCACTGGCCACTCGCAGACTTTCCACCTAGGCCACTCCACGAGTCTTGTAAAATGTTGACTGACATTACCACTTCCCGAGGCTTCTGAGACGCTCCATCTCTGCTGTGTGTGATTTGTGGGAATAGCGATGGATGGAGAAAGGTGGAAGAGAAACTTCTAATTTCTTACCATCTTAAAAACAAATCCCCCTCATTTAATCTTCAGAGCAATCCTGCCAACTTGGTAATGGAGCTGTTTCACAGCTGAGGACGCTAAGACCCAGAGAGATTAGGTGACTTTCCCGAGATCCCATAGCCGAGAAATGGCACAACCTGGGCCTACCACAGTCTTGGCATGTGGCCTCCTTAAAACAAAAATTTGTTGAATGAATGAATGAATGAATGAATGAGTGAGTGAATGAATTATAGAATGAACTCGGACTGCGCTTATTTTTAAAACCACCTTGTATCATTTTTTTGATCGAATCATTAACTTTCTACGGAGCACGTAACATTAAAAAGTTTTAAAAGGCAAATCACAATAAGCAGAGTGAGCAATTTCAATTAAACATGGGACCCGTTTAGAGAAAATGTATTCTCCAAGTATGGACGTTTATTTTTGGAAAATGCAGAAGATCCTATCGTCACTACAAAGCAGACAGACAGGGTAATGGATTATCTTGATGGGATCAAAAATTCATCAGTTTTTAATTATCTAATTCTTTTCCTTCCATTTAGGTTTCCACTCGAGGCGTTTCCTCTGCCCAGCGAGCCCTGTAAGATGCAAAGGTACGGGGACAGCCAAGCTGGACGGACGCCACGCAGCTCCTGGCCAGCTGGACGTCACGCGACGCAGAAAGGGTGCAGATCTGAGGAATTCAGCTCTGGCCCATTCTCCGTGACCTTTCTCCAGAGTATTTTCTTTCAGGGGCTCTTCACATGGAAAATCTTGATTTTTTCCCCCCCTCAAAGGGTAGCCAAATTCTTGAGAGGGAAAATAATTATCTGGTTGAAACATTAGAAGAAGGTCAGAGACTCCTGGTGGCTTTGGCAGCTTTGTTTTTACCCATTTTTGACGCTGCATCTCAGGCTGTGTCTAGACATCCAAGGCGAGCTGGAGGCAGGTTTGAAACACTGACCGAGCTGATTTACGGGAAGTCTCGTAAATCCTGCGCCAGCCGCTTCCAGGCTCTCACCACATGCCGGGGCTGCACAGATAACCCGCAGCAATTTGTACCGGCTGCATTCTTTTGTTTAGTCTATTTCGGCTGCAATCATGCAGATACGAGCTTCTGAACGATTCTGCTAGGAAATCAGGCTGAACTATGTGTTTCACAGTTTGAAAAAATAAAAGTCACCTCCGCGTGAAAAATGAGCCTGAGAAATTGTATCCCACGCAGAGAGGGCTTTTAAGCGCTGCACCCGGAAGAGGACACGGCCACGTGATGAGACCCTGTTTTGATTATATGTAGAACTCTCAGTCACATCTCATGAGGGCTATGACAGCTCTTCAAACATCTGAGACCAGATATTACGTGTCCCCCAGGTCTTCTAGCCCCTGAGCCAACCCTCCTGCCAATTTTTTCAGATGTTTCTAATATGAAGAGGTTTCTAGATAACGCAGCCCTCCCGTGCATTTGTTCTATTTTAAAAGGTTTTTCGAAAAATGGGATGCCAACCACCGACCACAAATCTCTAGCAGCGATATGGGTGGAATTTTTGCCTGCTTTCTAGAGAGTCAATTTTACGAATGTCAGTGAAATGTAGAACATAGTTAAGACCACGAACCCCCGTTGAAGTCCAGGTTGGGCCATGTATTATCCGATACGACATCGGGTGAGGTGACCTCTCTGAACTTCAGTGCCTTCACCTATAAAGCAGGGATCATAACAGTATCCACCTCAGGCCTACTGTCATAATAAAGGTTATTAGGTATGAAGAGCATTGCTTCACAGGATGCCCAGCAACCACAGATATTGGGCGAATATCCAATAAAATGTACAAACTACCAAAATTATTATTACGCATT